GCGATACAGCCAACTCCACAGGAGTGTGTTGGTGGGAATTTTTCGCCTACTCAGTTGGCAACACTCGTCAGACCCCGCGGGCGGGGTCTGCACAAACTCAGGGAGGACGGCGTCTCACCTGCGCACCGACACCGAGACTTTGCACATTCGCACGCGACGATAAGCAGCTCCAGGGCGGCGATGGAGGCGGGGGTGATGTCGGGGAGCACCACGTGCAACGGCACCTGCAGGGCGAGCGAACGCAAGCGGGGCAGCCCTGCCAACGCCTCCGGCAGGTGGCGAAGGGGTCCCGGTGTTCCCCTGATCGTATCATCATCCCAATCCGACCAAATCACCAAAAACAGGAGCCTCTTGAGCGCGCCCGCGCCCAGGGCGTGCACGACCGTCTCATGGATCATGTCTTGAAGGACGAGGTGCTCGAGGGGTCCCACCCAGCACCTCAGCAAATCTGTCAGCTGGGAACGTAAAGGGTCAGACCAACACCAACATGAAGTACGGGTTCAAAAAGAGCCCTTCCTTATGTACCTTAAAATCGGGATAAAGATGGTCCACGCCGATCTTGAGCTGCTTCAGCCCACGCATCCGTCGCAGCACTGCAACGTCGTCGTTGTCTGCTATTTCGACTTCCAGTCGGTGTAGGTCGCTCGAGCACGCCTCCACAAGGGGAAGAAGTTGCGACAGACACAGCTTCACACAGTCCAGCTGTTCACTGAAAACGAGACCGGGGATCAAACACCGACGGCCAAATGGTAAAGCGAAGTGGGCAGTGAGTGAGAGTGAGGGTTGGTACCGGTGAGCTCGCAGCAGCGACTCGAGCGCCGCAAAGTGTTCGACAGAAATGTCAAACAGACGATGGGTGTCCGAGTACTCGAAGTAAAGGGGCTCCACCACGACGGTTTGCAGCCTGGGCAACACCACGTCCTGCGGACAAGGACATGGGAGAGACAAAAGTACGGTCTGACCTGTCTTGCTAATTGAGTAGGCAATAAATTCCTTCGACCCACGAAGACATTTGTCACTTGTGTGGAGCGGGCTGCATCGAGGCCTGAATACTTGGCAACGCTTCGATGCATATGTATAAATTTTGACTGGTAGGCAGGCGTCGATGCAGCCCGCCTCACGCAGGTGTCTTTGTGGGAATTTTTTGCCTACTCAGTTGGCAACACCATCACCGGACCGGGTCTGGCCGGCGCGTGCGGCGCACGCACTCACACTCACCTGTGGCCACAGTAAGTTTCCCACTGCGCCCGTCACTCCCCCTGGAACAAGCTCTTGCGCTGATATTTGCAGGTGCTCCAGCTTAGACCAGTTGGCCTCCTGCAATGAGGTGAAAATCCAAGCGAGCTCCGCGTCGACTTCGAGACGCTTGACCGTCTGCGCGACTTCCCTGATGAGGCTGTCGACACTCTCGGCCAGTACGCAACCCCGAGTGAACAGTACAAGCTTTCGTGAGAGGCCTGTGGTGTTGGCGGCGTCGTCTGGAACCACGGTCAACTTCCCCGCCAACGGATCCAGCGCCGGCGCCGCCGGCGCCACAGCCAATATGTCCACGGGAGGGGCCACAGCCAACGCGTCGCAGATGTCATTGTAATTCTTGAGCGCGAGCGTGTCCTCGGTCTGCCAGAGGCGCATCTTGGTCCTGGTCAGCGCGCAGAGGCGGGGGCTGGCGCGCCCGGCGGCCACCAGGTCCTTTAAGGGTAGGTACCAGAGGATTTCAAGGAGCGACAGGTCGGGCAGCACGTCGAGCCGGAAGTCGGTCTGCGGGTAGAGCAACAACAAATCGATAGATCCCAACCCGCCCACCTGTGGCGTGCCCTCCACAAGCCCGTTTTTGTGCAAATTTCGAAAATGTTCGAAACTTTGAGTAAGTTAATGCATCTCACGGAGGGGGGGGGGGAGTCGCTTATAAGCGGGTTTGTGGAGGGTGAGCTGCAAATGAGCGTACATGTGTAGGAGGTATCGAGATATCCTGCATGGACCAAATGAAGAAGTAAAGATGGAAATCACGGAAATCACGCAGGCTATGTCAGGAGCAAAACAAAAGCTAGCCTGTGCGGCGAAACCGGCGAGAGCGGAACACATCAAGTGAGTTTTCGAGAGGTGAGAAGTATTCGGCGCGATTGCGCCACTCTGTACTACCTTCTCCTGATGGTTCATGGCTGTTCCAGTCGGCGGCGTCCTGGACGCCTCGGACGCGGACATCCGAGACTTCTTACTTTTACACGCTCTTGGTGGTTGACAACGGGTTGGTGCCGGCGACATCCTCACTCTGCCTCCTGCGGCCTCAGCTCGCCAGGCGACCTTACCTACAGGCACAAGTACCTGGCTGAGCCGCAAAAAAACTAACAAATAAAATACAATATAACTATCTAGGCGAAGCGCTGAGAAGGCGGGCCAGCCGGCCCGGCGATTCCGGGTCTACCACTCTTCCAAAGATAAAGTAGAAGACACATGCAGTGGTTTTAATCACATTAACAATAATAGCCAGGTCATAGTTTAGTCAAAAAAGCCGGCGCAGCCACCGATTTTTCAAATCTGCCAAGTGTAGCCGCAGTGATGTAAGTGTTTTTAAGAAAGGGTTTACAACTAGAACTGTTAATGTTTTAATTTTAAGTAGCATCAGTTGGATCAACAGTGGGTACTAGAAATGTATCCGATAAAGATACCAAAAACCCACATTTGGGGGGGTAATGATTTTAGGTTATGTTGCTTTGTTGTGATTTGCGACCGAGCTACGCTGAGCCGCTGAGCAATCATGAACATCTTCCTTTCCGTCTTCTTATGGGGCAAGGTGCTAAAATCGAAGCCTCGTAATGTAAGGACCGTTATCGAATACTTACAACGAATGGCAGCGAACAGCAACGGCTTCTAAGCGATACGCCGGTGTGTGGCGATCTGACTATACCGCGCTCTACCGTTTGTCTGCCGCCTGCCGCTTGCCCTGCCGCTCAGCGCAGCTCGGAGTTGACGTCAACTCCGGCACACCGTATGCCAGATGAATCACTTTTATATCACCAGGAACGACTGGAGGCTTCGCCTGTATTGGAAAGTAATCGCGCGGAGTGAGGTGATAAGGGCCAAGGGTCCCCGCCCTGGAAAGCAGTTCGAATTTCTGCGCGCAACAACCAGTGGCAGTTTGGCCAACTCACCAGTCACATTCCGCCGAAAATGACGTGGGCTTCCTAGGTGCACCATAGGTTGATAATACCTTCATTTTATTTTAGATACAATTAGAGCTAAAACACCAAAAGTTAGGGATTTCAAACTTCAAATGGCCATATCTCAGGAACCGCTTGAGCTAAAGAGCAGGGAAAAATATATTTAAAAAAATGCAGGCTATCTACTTTTTTTTTTTTTACAAAGTCGGAGATAGTCGGTTAAGATCCTATAAATGGTAAATGGAATGGCCCTGAAAATATATTTCTTTGGCAAGTAGTGCAGCGTGCGGAGAGCCGCACGAGCGAGAGTGGGTCAGCGCCGTCCGTATTGGTGAACATTCCAGCGCTTGGCTGGGGCCTGGGGCGCCTGGGGCCGGGGCCTGGGGCCGAGGCCGGGGACGGAGCGCGTTGCGCCACCACGAGGACCGATCAGAATGCCAGACCGATCCAGGCCAAGCTGGGTGGAGTGGAGCTGGAGCAGGCCGGGCCAGCCACTGAGGGAGCCCACTGCGCCGGCTGACGGGAGGAGCCAGGGGGGCTCGGCTCAACGAGGGCTCGGCGGTCAGGTCGGAAGCAGGCGGCGGCCGGAGGAAAGGCTCCGCCTGAGATGCGCTGGAGGCGCTGGGGCACCTGGGGACGCTGGAGGCGTTGGATTCCCTGGATGTGCTGGAGGTGCCGGAGGCGCTGGGAGGCGCTGGAGGTGCTGGAGGTGCCGGGGGCGCTGGGAGGCGGTGGAGGTGCTAGAGGCGCTGGAGGTGCTGGAGGCGCTGGAGGTGCTGGAGGCGCTGGAGGTGCCAGAGGCGCTGGAGGCTCGTCCCCTGAGCCGCTTTATTGCCTGCTCAGGTGGCCGGGGCGTAGCGTGTGGCGCGTCTGGCGGGCGCGTGCTGGAGAGGCCACAGGCTCCTGGACCCAAGGACGTCTCCACGTGTCGCGAGGGGACGGGGAGGGGGTGGCGCGGGGCAACGCACCGGGGTGTTACCTCGCGTGCCTACCCTTCCCTGCCCGGAGTCGTGCGTTCGTGGAGCTAAATTAAATAAGGAATGGGATTTAACCGGGTTTAGAACGGGTTAAAAAAATTACGTTATTTTTAGAAATCAGCAACAATAATTTCAGCCCCCCCCCAGGGAAAGAGAGAAATCAACAAACAAACAAAAAAGCAAACAAACAAATTTCGTAGTTTTAAGTGCGGTCCGATTTAACAATGGAGCTGTTTGCCATTTTTTAATTATTTTTTTTTGAGGGCCGTGTTATTAGCACCGGCAAGTTTTTCTTTTCGGCGCAAACATCACGACGAGCCCGACGAGCCGACTGTCGGGGTTAGGCGCTTAACTGTCGCTTAGCGCCCAAACTTTCGGCCTCTCTACCTCTGTCTCTATTCCTCTCCAGCTCCCCCTCCCCACCAACCCCCGGTACTGGTAGCCCCACCGCGGGCCCAGCGTAAACAAGGGGATGCCAGACCAACCCCCTTCCACCCCTCCCCCAAGCCTCCCACCTCGTCTGTCGATTTAGTAGTAGCAAGGTATACTGCGTCAGCGAGCTGCCTCTCTACGGGGCTTTGCTTTTTTGTTTCTTTATCCCCCCCCCACTCCCTCTCTCTCTTTCTCTGTCACTCCCTATTTCCCTTCGTCGTAATCTCCTCTTAGTTTCCTTTCCCACTTTTGGTCTTTACTGTGATTTCGTTTCTCCGCCCGCTTCATCCTCTGACGTTCTTTTTTGACTCTGGTCATTATTTCTTGGTTGTTATTGTTTCTTGCGACTCACATGTAAGCCGTATATTTTCTATTCTTCTTCTTGCGTTGAAATAATGATGTACTTGAAAGAAGGGTTTTCTAATTTAACTATAAACAACTTGCCTCTGCCTCCTGCACGCTAAAATTGACTGCTTGGTTTCCAATAAGCAAATGTGGTAATTTTCAAGCAAAAAGTGCTTGGAAAATAACACATTGGTTGGAAACCAAGCAGTCAATTTTAGCTTGTAACCTACACACATGAGTCGCTGGGCAAGTGTCTTTCAAACTTTATCTCAGCGATTAGTGCAATTATGAAACGAAAAATGAAAATAAACCAACAACCCTATACCCGACCGGCTCCTTCATACTGCGTCATTAGTGCACGATGGTTTATCGGCTGCAGGCGGTGCAGCACATGCGTTGTTAGTGCCCGCCCTCCACCGCCGCCGGCCTTGCGCCTGATAGCGGATGTTAATTTCAGCTCGCTGCCGACCAGATTATGAGAGCGCGGGAGCGGGCCGGCACTGATACAGGGCGCGCTGACGTCAGCAGCCCCCCTCCTTGTACAAGTCCACCTTGGCCCTGCCTGCATGTTGTTGCAAACGGAATCCCCCCCCCCCCCCTCCAATGGTCACGACCCTTACGCCCCTGACGGCGGTGCGGCCCGGCGGCTCAGGAGGTGGCGAGCCGTTTACGGCGGGGCGGGCGGGCCCTTTCCAGCAGGGCAAGTCATCCTTTGGTCGTCTTTTGCGAGGCAGTCGAGCTTAATCAAGAGGCCCTCTTCGAGGAAAGCCGCGCATCGACTGGGCGGTGAACTCCGCCGGCAAACGACGCCGTGGGTTTTCGTGCGTTCCTGCAACGTCGTCTGCAGTTCAAAAAACTGTATCAAAAATCTTAACGAACAGTGCTGCTCAGCAAATCAAGTACCTGAAGTTTCCGATACCTAATATGCTGGGGCGTGACGGAATGATGTCTCACAGCAGTGGGCCCTCTGGGGACTATAAGGCCCCCTGCTCTTTGGTCGGTGTGTTTTTCTGTCTTTTCCTTGTCTAGCGCGTGCCCTTTGACCTTTTCGTGATTGCCGCACGCACAGTTATTCGTCGCGAAGGGGAGGGGGGAGGGGGGCGACGGCCTCCTGTCCAGACAATGCAAACAGCCATAGGCAGGCCACATCCACAACTATTGGCCGTTCCCAAAATAACTTGCCGAGCCCCCCAAAGGGCACGCGGGAGCACAGCTTGCTTGCACCCATAGCGCCCGGGGGGCGTCGGAGGGTGGGGGCTGTTGGCTGGGGCCTGGGGCGCCTGGGGCCGGGGCCTGGGGCCGAGGCCGGGGACGGAGCGCGTTGCGCCACCACGAGGACCGATCAGAATGCCAGA